CCTCACACAAGCATGGAGACAGGAAAGGTGCCTCAACCTCCAGGAGCCACTGCAGGATCAAGGGGGACAGGCATGGTGCCCTCCCTGTGGGAGGAGCACACAGCTCCTGATGGAGCTCTGTGACAGCCTGCTTTCTAGCTGTCATCCCATGAGCAAGTTTGGGCCCCAAAGGACAGACAGCTGACTTATGGGTACCAGTTCAGATCTGTTGAAGCAAATAGAATTTTGTAGGGTTTTTTTGAGACAGAGCCTCAAGCTGTCCCCCTGGGTAGAATGCCATGGCATCACAGCTCACAGCAAACTCCAACCCCTGGGTTCAAGCAAGTCTCCTGCCTCCCAAGCAGCTGGGACTACAGGCACCCGCCACAACACCCAGCTATTTTTTGGTTTCAGCTGTCATTGTTGTTTGGCGGGCCCGGGCTGAATTCAAACTTGCCACCTTAGGTGTATGTGGCTGGTGCCTTAGCCACTTGAGCCACAGGCACCGAGCCGCAAACAGAATTTTGAATACACTTTTATGTCAGTTAATTTTGCAGAGAACCTTATTGAGGGGAGTGAGGGATTCTGAACAGCAAAGCCCAGTGCTGAGATTAATGAGCTGAACATGCCATCCTGGGAACCACTGATGCTCAGAAGGCCACTCAGAGCTCTGTCAGGAGGAGCTTTGCTGGGAGCAGCAGTGGTGGCCAGGTGAGGGGGAATGGCCAGCAGAGGACCAGAGGCAGTGGCCAGATGAGGGCCTGGTCTTAGGGATTACATGGTGAGCCCTGAGCCTGTATGTTGGGGAGGCAGGTGTTGTGTGAGGCCTCACTGCTGTGGGGTCCCATCTCCTTCTACCTAGGCTGACAAGAGGTAGGATGGGACCTAAGGGATGTCATGTGGGAGCAAAGAGCCCAGCCCCACAGGCCTGAGGCGGCGTTACTAGAGATCCCATGAGGGCAAAGAGGTGACGTGGCTCAAAGAAACCAGAGGACTGAGGATCGGAGGGGGTTAGAGGGTTTGGAAGGCAGGAACAAGGATCAGTGGGCAGCGGTGGTGCACAGAAGCAAGAGCAAGGGCTTAGCTACTGCCAACCATTGCCAGACACTGGAGCACTAAAACCCGGTATAGCCAAAGCCTGGTTCCCAGACCAGCAGCCCCAGAGAATGAGTTGGAAATGCCAGTTCTCAAGCTTCACCCACCCCCAGACTCAAGAGACCAGGAACTCTTACACCCACATACAAATCAGGGAGCCTCAGACTTCCCATCCTCCTTTTATAAATGGGACAACTGAGACACTGAGTTAAATTGTTTGCCCAAAGTATTGTAAGTGGTTGTAGCGCTGAGGTTGGAGCCCAGGCAATCTGGGTCTAGACCTGCCCTGGCCAACAAGGTAGCCGCATGGGGCTGTTTGAGTTCCGATTAAAAGTAGTAAGTGCTGGCTTTTTGCCCGTAGCTCAGTGAGTAGGGCGCGCCAGCCATATACACTGAGGCTGGTGGGTTGGAGCCCTGGCCCGGGCCTGCTAAACAACAATGCCAACTCCAACAAAAATTAGCCGGGCATAGTGGCAGGCACATGTAGTCCCAGCTACTGGGGAGGCTGAGGCAAGAGAATCATTTAAGCCCAAGAGTTGGAGGTTGCTGTGACACCATGGGACTCTACCAAGAGTAACATAGTGAGACTCTATCTCAAAAAAAAAAAAAAAAAGAAAAAGAAAAGAAAAGAAAAGAAAAAGAAATAAGTGCTATAATACTAGCACTCTGGGAGGCCAAGGCCAGTGGATTGCTTGAGCTTAGGAGTTTGAGGCCAGCCTAAGCCAGAGCAAGACTTTTTTCTAAAACTAGCCAGGTGTTATAGCAGGTGCTCATAGTCCCAGCTATTTGGAAGGCTGAGGCAAGAGAATCACCAGAGCCCAAGAGTTTGAGGTTGCTGTGAGCTGTGATACCACGGCACTCTACCAAGGGTGACAAAGTGATACTCTATCTCAGAAATAAATAAATAAAAATAATAAATGCAAAATTCAGTTTTTCAGCTTGCCATATTTCAAGGGCTTGAGGGGCCCTGCTCTGGGCTGCCCTGTGATTCCCATCACTTCATCACGTCCAGGTTCTGGTCATGCTGGTCTAGCTGTATCCTAGCCACCACGGGTTGTATGCACCAAAACACACTGTCCTCCAGGTATGTGCGGCAAACGTTGTGTACACAAACTAAATTACAGCAAGAGCACGGGAGCTCTGCAATGCACTGCACTGAGAAATTGGTGGTGGTGGTGGTGGAAGGGACTGTGGTGCAGGCTCTGGCAGAGCCCTGGCTGCAAGGGATTCTATGGTGTATCCAGAGATGAGACTGGGAGAGATTCAAGCCAAGTTTAATGAAAGGGGACAGAGACCTGCCTAGGTGTCTGCACTGAGGGTGGTTAGAAACCTGTTTTTATACTGTGGGCTTAGGGGAGGAAGAATCCACAGGTAGTTGGAAGGTTCTGGTGGGTTAGAGTCTTCCTGGTAGAACTCTTGAGGTGGGCCCTGGTAGGCCTTTTGTTTTAAGAGGAAAGGAGAGGGGGGAGGAAGGGGTTAGGCCCCCAACACTGGCAAACCACTGGAGGAGGTTCAGAGCCCTGGCTATGACAGTCACTGAGACATGAGATTGTGGAGACAAAATGGGCCTAGTAAAGTGGGCACAGTGGCTCATGCCTGTAATCCTAGCACTCTGGGAGGCTGAGGTGGGTGGATTGTCTGAGCTCCTGAGTTCGAGACCAGTCTTAGCCAGAGCAAGACCCCGACTCTAAAAATAGCTGGGTGTTGTGGCAGGCTCCTATAGTCCCAGCTACTTGGAAGGTTGAGGCAAGAGAATCACTTAAGCCCAAGAGTTTGAGGTTACTGTGAGCTGTGACACCGGAGCACTCTACCAAGGGCAACAAAGTGAGACTCTATTTCAAAAAAAAAAAAAAAAAGGTCTGTCTGGTCTACAGGCAGGCAGGTGGAGTCTGCCAGGAACCACCTTCAGCCCCTCTTCGAGTACTTCCCATCCGCAACGCATCAGCCAGCTGTTTTCTCCTGGAAAAGAAGTTTCCCTCCCTGGAGAGCTGCAGAGCCCACTTGGAAATGAATAAAAGGAGAGAAAGCACCTGGGCCTCTTCCCCCATGAGGGCCAAGGAGACCCTGAAGGAACCCAGAAAGGAACCCCTTAGTGGGTATTGAGGGACCTGCCCTCCCCTGGGGGCACACACCTGAAGAATTTATATTCCTGTATTTGAAAACTTTGAAACCAGAACCTTAGACCTTCCCAAACAATTGCTACATGTGGGTGAAGAGGATGCAAAAAAGCCCCCCCCGACCTCTGAGCCTGGGCCCAGGCTGGGGGTAGGTGGTAGACAAGCTCTGGGGACCTTGGGAGCAGATGTGGAACCTGAGGCTGCTCTGGGAAGGGGCCTGTATCCACATGAGAGCCTGAAGTATTATCTGTGTGACCTTCACTCTGGCAGGGGGAATTAGGGAGCAGGAAGGCCAAAGAAAGGGCTCTGGCTCCCAGGGCAGCTCTTAAACATCAGAAGGGAGGATGCTGCCCACCCTCCCCCCACCAGGAGTATTTTCATAACAAAACCCAGAATGGGAAGAGGGCAGGAAGACCCAGCCCCCATCCTGGGAAGCTGGTGGGAGGCAGAGACAGAGGTCTGCATGGACAGGAAGCCTGCCCCTGCCCTGTCTACCTTCCACACACATATCCAGCCATCTGTGAACCACTTTATCAACTGCCCCTCGGTCAGCCCTGCCAACAGTCTATGCCTCCCAGACCTCACCCTCCATGCCCAGCAGACAAGAGGCCCCTCCAACCTCTAAGGGATAGGGTGATAAGGACCCAAGCCCTGGCCCCATCTAGTTCTAGTAGACTCCTCTACACTGACCCCCCCACATCCCGCTCATGCAAGGAGGCACTTCCCACCACCCACTAACTCTGGTCACTCTTCCTGTACCTGTCCCAGTGCCTTTGCTTACCTGTGCCCTCTGCAAGAAGCGCATTCCCCACTACAGCAGCATGGCTGGCTCCTCCTCAGGTCCTAGCAGTCAGCTCTACCTACCCTCCATCCTCAGAAAGACCCTCTGAGATCACCCAAAGCCCATGCTCTATAACATCTCCTCCAACATCTTATTTTCTTGGAATGGTCATTTGATATTATTTTATTTGGCCATATGTTCAGGGTCTCTTTCCCATTTTTTCATCAATCTCTGCAATATTGACAGTGCCTGAACACAGGAGCCTTTTGGTAAATATGCCTTGAACAAATTGATGGCGTTGAGACCCAAGCCCACCTCAGCGTCTGCACAGGCGCCCAGTCCCTGCACCCTAGGGCACCCACCGTCCAGTCCAATTCCCCGGACGTGGCCGGGGTCGGGTGCGGGCAGCCAAGGGATCCTCGCCGGCCTCTCCTACCCTCGCTGCAACACTCCCGAGCCGGGCGGAGCTCGGGGGCGGACAGGAGGGAGCCTACCGAAGGCGCAGACCTCAACCACTCGTGCCCACGTGGAGGGGCGGCCGCCCGAGGGACTCAAGCAGCTGCAAGGGGCGCAGCTGCCCAGCTCCCTCCCCATGCGGGACACAGATCGCCTTCTACTCGAGCTGAGAGCCAGGTGCAGCGGGGTGGGTGGGCTAGCTGAATCTGGACCCTCTGAAGGGCGGGGCCTGAAGCAGGGGCGGGACTTGAGGGGGCGAGGCAGGGGCCGGGCCTAAGGGGTGGTGGTGTAGGGGCTTAAGGGAAGGGCGGAGATGGGGCGGGGCTTAAGGGGCCCGGGGCGGGGCCTAGAGGGGGAGCGATCAGGGGCCGGGGCGGAGCATAGGGGGGAGGGGCTCGTGGCCCGGGAGGCAGGGGCGGGGCCTGGCTAAGCGGACGCGGCGGAGCGGGGCCCGGGCTGGGCGGGCCGGGCCCAGGAGGGGCGGGGCGGGGCTGGTTCCAACGGAGCGCTCACTTCCTCTGGCGGCGGCAGCGGGCGGAAATACGTCAGTTGTTATCCGCTCTGGGCGCCGCCGCAGCAGCCTCACGAGCCCCGTGCCCGGCCTCATCGCCCACTACCAGGTCCCCACCCGCCGACTCCGCCGTCAGTTCGGCCCGATCCCGCGCGGAACGCATGGTCCGCATCCCCAGGAGGGCGGCCGAGGGCCGCTGAGCGCAGGGCTCTCCTCCGCCGATGCGCCCGGCCGCCGGGGCCGGGGGTACCCCGCCGCACCGGGCCCGGGACTGAGCCGCCCCCTGCGTCCGGAATGCCCGGCCCGGCCCGCCGCCCGCTGCTGCCCAGGGCCCAAGCCCGCGCGGCGCTCACGCAACCCGGCGGCGCCGCGTAGCCGAGCGGGAGCCGTGGCCGCGGGAGGCCCGGGCGTGGGGCGTCAAGGTCACCAGCCCGACGGGGCGCACGCCGCCACTGCCGCCATGGAGGCCAAGGTCCGACCAAGCCGACGCTCGCGCGCGCAGCGGGACCGCGGCCGGCGCCGGGAAGCTGCCCGTGACGCCCGTGCGCAGAGTCCGTCGTCGGGCGACGAGCCCGAGCCCAGCCCCGGCAAGGAGAACGCGGGCCTCCGCGGCGCGCCGCCCCGCGCCACCCCCGCGCCCCGTGCCGTGCGTCCCCCACGCCGCCGCCGCCGCGAGTCCAGCTCGCAGGAGGAGGAGGTCATCGACGGCTTTGCCATCGCCAGCTTCAGCACCCTGGAGGCCCTGGAGGTAGGTACCCGGGAGCGGGCGGGAAAGAGATACACCTCCACCAAAGTTGGGCTGAGGAGCGGCGGGAGCTGGCCTTGTCGCGGGGAAGGACCTTGTCCTGTGGGAAGTCAGTTCTCACTCAAGCCTCCTGCCTGGGGGCCCTTGTGTCCGCCGCACGCCTCGACAGTCTCTTCTGGAGGACCCAGCAGCGTCGAGTGGTTTTAGGGGTGTTCTGAACTGCAGGGGGAAGAAATCTAGATTGCAGTCTAATCTAGACTGGGAGCTGGCTGGCAGCACAATCGGCCTTTTTTCAGTTGTGTTTTTGTTGCCAAAATATCGCTCTGTTCTGGACGTGCCAGGGAGCTAGGCATTGCTGGACTTAGCGGAGGTGGTGATAAAATGGATACTTTGGGGGTTCTTCCGGTTCCTCCCTTCTTGATGGGGAGAGAGGCAGGTTAACCCTGAGAACCCTCTTGCTGACCGCTGCTTGCTGCGTGGTTAGTCGATTGGCAGAAAGTATTGCTTCTCTAGCTGAGTTGTCATGGACTGTATTTGCTGAGCAAATACTGCCCTTGTTGCCTGAACCCAGGTGAATAGAGAAGGAAGTGCAACCCTGTTAGGGAGTCGGCAAGGAGGGCAGTGGGAGCTGGACTTAGGTCCCAGAAATCTCTGTGGTCCTCAGTTTACCTAGGGATTTGGGAGTTCCTGGCTTGGAACCCCTCATCTCAGGTTGAGCTGTGTTGAAAGAGGACATGTTGGCTGCAGGCCCCTACAGTGAATGCTCTCTGCAAGTCCTCACCCTAACTCGGGGTTGTTTCCAGGGGATGGAGAGAGCTTAGGGTCAGGTGCTGGTGGCCAGGGACCTGGCCCTGGGCCAGGTTTGGTGCTTTGTATCTGGGTGGATGGACAGAGGCGGGGCATCTGTGAGCACAGGACAAGGATGTTACAGCTTGTGCACACCATACAGCCTGAGGGCCTTAGATGGCTCCTTCCGATGGCTCTCCAGGGCTGTTTTCTGCCTTTTCAGTGACATTAATGATATGGAATACTTGCTACACTTGCTATAGGCTCTGCCCTAGGCTGAGCTCCTGTTCTACAGCATAGGAGACTGGCCACATGGCCCTACATTCTAGATCTGTGATCACTCTGCCTGCCCCACCTGTGCCCTCTCATAGGTGGAAAAAATAAAAACTCTTAACTGGCCTGGAAAGCCCTGTACATCTATGGTCTCCTCACCCCTTTGGCTCTAGCACAGTGGTTGTCAACCTTCCTAATGCCGTGACTCTTTAATACAGATGATGTCATCACGATGGGTACTTGTATGTGGGCATATCAGCATGTGGGTGGACCCGACTGAATAGAGGAACGGTGTCTGGGTTCCTAAGACCATCAGAAATATGTGTTTTCAGACTCCCAAAGGGGTCGCGACCCACAGGTTGAGAACCGCTTTGCAGGTCAGCCCATCAGATTTTCCAGCAGTTCTCACTGATGGGTTGATGTTTGGTGCTTTCATGTCTCAGCACAGATGTCATTTGGGACCCCATCTGAAGTGGCAGCCCTTTTCCCTGCAAACTTCAACTGCCAGTCTCACTCTCTTTCCTGTCATTGCCATTCTGAGCTGTTTCATGTCGTATTTGTCCTCTATTCACATCTCTCCCCGTAAGAACTTGTGACCTACAGGGAAGCAGGCATCAAGTCTGTCTTGTGTGTCTCCTTGGGGTCCAGTGCCCAGAACAGTGTCCAAAGTATCCCATGCACATTGTGTATTGAATGAGTGAGGAGAGGCTAAGTTTTAGGAGGGAAGGGTCTTGCACCTAAGGTCACAGGATGCCATAGGGGGCCTGGCCCATCTGGGTCCAAGTGCTCTTCCCACAGCAGCTCTCACCACCTCCTCCTTTAGAGACTTGGGTTGCTCAGACCAGCCCACTACCTGCCATAGTGGGACTAGCCTGTTTCGGCTTGGCATTCACACAACCATGGTACCTCATGTACCCTGCCTTGGAAAGTACAGGGCTTCTGGACGAGTCATACAACCTCTGAGTTGGCCAGAAGTAACTCTGATTGACCTCACTTTTTGCCAACGGGTAGTGGGTTTTCCCTAAAGTTCAGATAATTCACAATCATCCAGATAGTAGCAGCTGATCTGGTTGGTGTTCTCTTTACCAGGCACCATTCTGAGCTGCCCTTCACAGACAGACTTACAGCTTGTGGGGGAGGTTGGGTTTTGCCCCCCTCCCACCCCCCGCCCTGTTCCACAAACAGGGACATTAAGGCATACCACAGGGAAGCTGATGGTTCTATTCAGTCACGGGTCTGGAGGTTCTCATGTGGGATGTGTGCTCAGGGTCACCAGGACCCCAACCCAGAAGTGGGCCTGCCCACCTCCCAACTTCACTCACGGTCACCTTACCCCCCGGGTTCTGAGGGTAGTTCCTATGCTGAGACCTCAGAGGACATGCACCCCACCCCACCCCCCAGAGGTATTTGAGAGAGAAGCCCATCTAACCCCAGAGGCTGGCTCACCTGCTGGGTACAGCAGTGGGTACAAACAAACACAGGTACAGACTCGTTAGTGAGGTGAAGCCTGCATGTAGAAGAGTGTCCTGAGGCTATCAGTACAGGCCCCAGCTGGACAGGCTTCCAGCCCCACCCTGTCTCTCGGGTCAGGCTCCTACCCAAACACTTTCTGTGCCCTTGGTAGGTCCCCTACTCCTCCACTCCTCCTTTGCCCTGGGAAAGCCCCACCATCTCCTCCTGAGTCCTGAGCTAGATCCCACCACCTGTGCCCCTGGCAGAATCCCCTTCACCCCAGCCTCCTCCCTTCATCCCCTGTGCCCTAGGCAGACTCCCTTTATCCCCTGTGCCCCAGGCAGATACTACTTCACCCTGTGTGCTTTAAGGTGGGGCTCTGTAGATCTGAGCTGTTTCCTCTGACTTTCTGCAGCTCCATCTAACTCTTTTTCTTTTGTCTTTCTTTCTGTCTTTCTTTCTTTTTTTTGTAAGACAGAATCTCACTTTGTCACCATTGGTAAAATGCCGTGGCATCATAACTCACAGCAACCTCAAACTCTTGGGTTTAAGGGATTCTCTTGCCTCAGCCTCCCAAGTAGCTGGGACTACAGGTGCCTGCCATGATGCCCAGTGATTTTTAGAGATGGGGTCTTGCTCTTGCTCAGGCTGGTCTTGAACTTGTGAGTTCAGGTGATCCACCTGCTCCAGAGTGCTAGAAGTATAGGCGTGAGCCACTGCACCCAGCCTTCCATCTAATTCTTTAACCGATAGTTGGAGGGGTCCTGTGGTTTGGGGGTCAGGAGATTGGAGGAAACCCCTAGACTCTTTGCTCTTGCTCTGGCCAGGAACACCAGTTTAGGTGGATGGCTCTTCATCATCCCTCTTGTTTTCTGTGACATCTCTGTTTCCTGCTGGTACTAACCAGAGGGGATGGGAAGCCCCCTGCCCCAGGGCAGTGCTGTGGTCATATTTGCCAGGCACTGCTATAGTCTCTGCCCAAGTCCTTCTGAGAAAGCTAGTTCCTCCTGTGTGGGGCCAAGAGCCCCCAGGGCTGTGCCAGACACCTTGTCCCAGGTGCCCAAGGCCGCCTTCAGTTGCTCTCCTGTCACAGAACAGGCTGTGCTGGCCACTATATCTCCCTGGTAGCAGGCCACGTCCTATTCAGCCCCCTGGGTCTGAGACTGACTTTGCCTTCTTTCCCACTTGCTGACCCTGTTCATGAGTAAGATGCTTGGTTGGGTGCTCTGTGTGTGTGGGGGGGGGATTCAGAGTCTGGTGATTGCCTCTGCCGCCACCTCCTGCCAGAAACCACCCTTCTGGTTTGACATCTGTGATTTTTTTTGGTTGTTGTTGTTAATTTGTTTTTTCAAACAGCAAATTGCTTTCACTTGGTTCAGAAATTCAGCTCCATCTATAAAAATGTGTATGTTTAAAAGTTTCAGCTCCTGTCTCAGCTAGCCTCCTCCAGGTGTCTGCTCTCCTAGGTCTCTGGGCTTTCCGGAGCTTCATTATGGAGACATAACCAGGTGCAGGTGTGCATCTGCTCGAAGGAGTATCGTTTCTCACACGAGTGTGTCCAGGAAGACAAATGGGAGGAAAATGCCTAGAATACTGGCTGTAGGGCCAGCAACTCCCCTTCTCCAGTTCTATTTCCACATTCTCTGGTCGGCATGTATCCCTTTGGCAATCAATAAACACGTGCCTGAGACCCAGTGTACCCTGCCCTGCATAGCACAGCATAGTGCAAAGGACTCTCTACCAGCAACAGACAGGACCCTATTGGGCTAGAGGTATGAACCTGGAGCCTGCAGGCCTTGGCCAGGGGGCAAGTAGAGGTTCTCAGGACAAAAACAGGGGCCTGCATGGAGTAGGGCAGGGAGCTAAGGTTGTGTCCCACTCTGGGTACAGTCAGAGTTTTTGCTGAGTGGTCTCTACCTGGGCCTGGTGGGGGTATCACATCACAGCATTGTTAGGACCCCCTAGGCAAGGGCACCAGGCAGGAGGAACTAGACTGGGAGTGCACTGGCCATGAGTGTGTGGTGCAAGGCCACTGAAGTCCACGCTATTGGTCTGAGGGCTGAGTTTGTGATGGTACCATACTTGTGCCTAGGACTGGGACTGATACCACACAAGACTCTTGGGCCCCAGTAAGGAGAGGGCAGGGGGAACCTTTAGCCCATGTTGTCTCTTCAGATGGGGCTTCTGGGGCCCAGAGCAGGGACATGCGTTATCCACAGTCATAGGATGGGGTACATAGCTGAGCTTATATCCTGCCTGTGGTGGTCTTGGGCTGCTTGGAGGACAAGTAGTTCTTCACAGGAGTGTTCAACCCATTGCCTGGGGGCCACATGTGGAGTATATGAGGGCTTTTTTGCATATCCGTGGTAGTGGTGGATAATTAAAATTATACAGGGATCTTTTTGTTTATCAGCTTTTGGTAGTGTTTGGGTATTGTGTGGCCCAAGACAACCTTCTTCCAATATGGCCCAGAGAAGCCAGATTGGACACCC